CCACCGTCAATGCTGGACACCCGGTTAAATATATATGGTTGAGAATGAGTGGAAACCACCAGTGTTTCACGAATTCCAATGAGAAAAAAAATTATTATCATTCTTGAAACTAATCGAGAACAGACACATTGCCGGAGATGACACATGGCTGACTTCATTGTCCTCATCACAGGGTGCCGGAATCTCTACCTGAAAAGCAAAATAAAGTTGGTCCTTATGATAAGAGTTAGCTTTTTTGATAATAAAATTATTTTTTTTACTTGACAGTTTCAAGTTTAGAGAGAAAAGTAAATCTACCTTTCCAGCTTGTTTATTTTTTTCAACGGAATTGGAAACTAAGGTCTTAAATTAAACTGAATTGGAAATGGCAAAATGTTTTTTTATAAATAATGCTATTCCAAAATTATTGAATATTTTTGGCTCACCCATGGGAACATGCAACATCAGGCTTATCTATGGGAACATGCAACATTGAGCTCATCCATGGGAACATGCAACATTGAGCTCATCCATGGGAACATGCAACATTGAGCTCATCCATGGGAACATGCAACATTGAGCTCATCCATGGGAACATGCAACATTGGGCTCATCCATGGGAACATGCAACATTGAGCTCATCCATGGGAACATGCAACATTGAGCTCATCCATGGGAACATGCAACATTGAGCTCATCCATGGGAACATGCAACATTGAGCTCATCCATGGGAACATGCAACATTGGGCTCATCCATGGGAACATGCAACATTGAGCTCATCCATGGGAACATGCAACATTGAGCTCATCCATGGGAACATGCAACATTGAGCTCATCCATGGGAACATGCAACATTGAGCTCATCCATGGGAACATGCAACATTGGGCTCATCCATGGGAACATGCAACATTGAGCTCATCCATGGGAACATGCAACATTGGGCTCATCCATGGGAACATGCAACATTGGGCTCATCCATGGGAACATGCAACATTGGGCTCATCCATGGGAACATGCAACATTGGGCTCATCCATGGGAACATGCAACATTGGGCTCATCCAAGGGAATATGCCAGCAGCTTTACAAAAACATATTTTAATAAAAGTAACGTTCAACCTTTCTTTAATTCGTTCTACAAAATAACATTTTATCCGGTCACAACTTAAGTTTTAAAACTTCACAAATTGTAATACAGGTTTGTTTTAACTACAGTTTCTATTTTGAAGGATTCAAATCGATAATTCTTAAATTATGTATTTTTTATGATTTCTTTTTAATGATAGATATTTATTACGGTACCAGAGAATGTAAGCATGAGAACCACAATGTATTTGATACATTCACAAAATAATTTTTATCCCCGTTACTTTCTTTTCCGCGTCCTTTTTTTTTAAATGGTGAGCACTGAGTGTAGAGCAGTGAACATACTTATCAAATGGGCATTCTATGAGGCAATTAGAATGCAGGTGGCATCACTCCCCTCTCCCTTCCCTTCCATACACCTACGCAAATGACATCACTCTGCTATAACTCTGCCTTAGGCGAAGGTAAAAGAAAATTAAATCGCCACGATTTAAAAAGAGTTTTAAGGAGACAAAAATTCACTCTACCTTCGCTGCACTGCTGCTACTCCATCGACATGAAGGTTTGTAGCGTGGTTTCACTGTGCGTCACTTCAACAGCAAGCAGATGAAGCAGGCATGAAGACAAAATCAAACCAGGTCAGCGTATTGGAGGCATTGCACTAACTTGTAGTTGTTAGTCCAGCTAGTCTAATACGAGGCTGTGATCTTAGCTTACATGGTTGAAAAAGTCTGTTTATTGATCATACCAGTGGTTCTAAACTTTTAAGAGCAAGATTTTAATAGTTTGTTATGATTTAACGCAGGTGTATGACACCCCAGAAATACCAGGAACGAATTTAACTTAATTTGCATGTGTTTAGTCTTTTAATTTTATTTTGTGTGAACCCAAACATTCAACGATTTTGTTTTAAAATTATTTTAAAATAATTCGACTAAAATCCGAACTAAAATAATTTACAAAAAAATGTAAACATTTTTTTTCTTCATAAAGCTATCTTAAATTCAATCGTAAATAACATTTGAACTTTCCCCTGCTTTGTTATGACCATAATCTATAATTTATGAGCTAGTGACCCTGTTATGTACCATAATTAAATGAACGGAACAAAAAACAATGACCATATTTAATTTACAAGTATAAATATAAAATGTTAACATTTTATTTCGATTCAATTTTTTGTGTGTTAAAGTGTGTCTTATAGATGTTATGATCCGGTTTGTGTGCTAGAGTGTGTCTTATAGATGTTATGATCCGGTTTGTGTGCTAGAGTGTGTCTTACAGATGTTATGATCCGGTTTGTGTGCTAGAGTGTGTCTTATAGATGTTATGATCCGGTTTGTGTGCTAGAGTGTGTCTTACAGATGTTATGATCCGGTTTGTGTGCTAGAGTGTGTCTTACAGATGTTATGATCCGGTTTGTGTGCTAGAGTGTGTCTTACAGATGTTATGATCCGGTTTGTGGGTGGGCTTTTTTTTTTTTGTTGAAGTTTGTGTCTGGAATGGCATGATCCGTAAGTTGTGTTGGTAGTCTTGTGGTGTGATTGGCTGAAAACAAAGAAGAATGCGTCTCCCCTGGCTGCTGAACTCATCGTGATAATCACGTGTTCTTAGCCAGCCAATCAAAGGTGAAAGAAAATAAGAGTGTTGACCACTGTTTGCCAGGCGGAGCGGTCAAGTGTGATGTTCTCCCATTCACTTGTGATGTTCTCCCATTCACTTGGGATGTTCTCCCATTCACTTGTGATGTTCTCCCATTCACTTGTGATGTTCTCCCATTCACTTGGGATGTTCTCCCATTCACTTCACTACAAGAGGGTAAGTGAACGGATGTTCTCCCATTCACTTGTGATGTTCTCCCATTCACTTGTGATGTTCTCCCATTCACTTGGGATGTTCTCCCATTCACTTGTGATGTTCTCCCATTCACTTGTGATGTTCTCCCATTCACTTGTGATGTTCATGTTGATTGCCTTCGTGTCTAACGTCTTTGGTGTAATCACGTGCATTTTATTGATAATTGATTTATATTTATCTAGAATAATCGTAGGAATTGTGTTTTTTTTTTGGTGCTGGCTTATATTTTGTAAATATTTACCAAAAGAAACCCCCCCCCCCCCCCGCGAAACCCACGGCTCAAATCTAAAAAAAAATTGAGAGTCTCTGATATCAGACATGAAACTTTATTGAAAACGGATGTGTCATAATCCACATAAGAGAAAAGCAAATTTTTTTTTAAAATTCATGTCCTATAAGTTCAGTCAGGCTAGAGTTAAATATTGATTTTGTTGTGGCGCTTTCGTAGTCAAGAATCATATCCCAAGCTCTCTGCGCCTTGTTCCATTGAAAACATCCGATGCACATTTATGATTTAGCCGTCATGCATGGCTAGTTATGATAAGTTCTACTTTATAGCACGTAACCCAAGAAATGATGGAGGGTTCGTTGATAAATGTCAAGAGCCCATTTCAAAAGCTTCTACATTTTTGCACGCACGGGCGAGTGTCCGTGTCATTCATTTTTTGCAGGGCGGTGCGGAGCTGGGGTCTCGGGTAAAAATAGGCCCGAGGCTCTGCTGGTGGGCCACATGAGGCCCGGCTCTGCTGGTGGGCCACATGCGGCCCGGCTCTACTGGCGCCATCGCATTTTTTTTAAAAATAAATAAATTACAGTTCATCTAATCATTTGAAGATGATTTTCAACAAGAATTTAAAGCAGTAGTGACCAAGCTCACGGGCCACATGCGGCCCGGCCCGTAAACTTTGCAGCCCACCTAATTCCAAATGTATAACACATTTCTTCATTTAATTTGAGTTTCTATTCATTCTTGTAATAAACGCACTTTTGACATTAAATAATTAAAATTTTATTTACAAAAAAAATACTGCAGAATTATATCTTGATTAATTATATCATATTTATTTATATGAGACACGACTGGGTGTTTTTTATTTGAGAATTATTCGCTGGCATCCGTCCGTCACAATCTGACGATGGAGTGGACTTCGGAGGACGAAATCCACATGACCTGGGATTATTCTTCAAGGATTATAAGCTGGTTCCCAACAGCAAATCGCCTCTCTCCACGCCGCTGGATAACCCAAGGGAACATTATTGGCACAGCTTGGCACCAGTGACGTCGCAGGAGTTGTCGGAATGTTTCATTGTGTCAATGTTATCAGCCTTTCGGGACTCCATCTCCGGGTTTGATTTCAGAGTTTCCTTCTCATAGATGGGTTGCCTTCCAAGGTTAACGAGTCCCATCTACCCGCGGTGCTGGTGGTGTTTTCGCTTGACTGGGCTCTTGCTGGAATTGATCTACAGACCACCAACTTGAGATTTGCTCAGTTTAGACCACTCGGCCACATTACCAATAAATATACAACTCTGCACATAGTTGTTGCGTTGTTTATTTATTAGGTGTACTGGCCCGCGGCCTGCCGGAAGTTGTTTCGTGCTAAAGATGGCGCAAGAATCCACTTTGGTTGGACACCCATGATTTAAAGCAAAAGCTACATTTTAAAAAAAAAATATTTTTTTTAAGGATCACGAGCTCGACATTCATTCGTGTAATGTGCCAAGTCTCGGCTCGATAGGGTGACGGGAAGTGGATCAATTAGCAGGCCGAAGATTTTGCTCTAAACACAAAGGCGAAGTTAATATAAAGGAATTTAAAAATATAATGAAGCAGCCCAACTGAAGTTAACAAAGTCGGCATTGCTGTTACGTTTTCTATGGACATTTTTATTACACTGGAGTTTACATTAAACTTTCTAATATTAGGATAGCAAGAGGGAAAAAAAATTTTAATAGATCTTATTGGAAAGAATTTTTATTTTCTTTATTTCAAAAGAATAAGTAAATTCCCTATGTATTGTTTATATATATATATATATATATATATATATTATATATACTTTGCCGCCACTAAAGTGCCACCCGCGGCGACCACACCCCTGTGCCCCCACCCTAGGTTCGCCACTGAAAATCGGTTTATTAAGCTGGAAGCAAGAAATATAACACCTTTTGAACACACACACAGAGCATGCGAATAACTACGTCACACCTCAGAAAGTTTAACTCTGAGGCAAAGAGATCACTTAAGTTAGTTGAAATCTTGTAGTGATGATGCAGATCGGATGTTATTGGACAAAGACAAAGCTCAAATTCTTTTAAAATCCCAAAAGCCTCAACAACCTTTGAGGACACGAAGCGTTTGCATAAAAATGGGCTCAAATTCCGTTCATTTTAGATACCGGTACTAAAAGTATCATAATTTCAAAGTTAACCGAATCATCCACAGTCCTCGGTGATATTTATCTAGAAACTTTGTGTATTCGACGATTAAAGATTGGGAACGACATGTCAACCAAAAAAAAAAAGGGGGGGGGGATTTTAATTTAAAGGCAACAAAAAGAGTCGGGGGGGGGGGGCTGGTGGATATGGGTTATGACAATGGCTCAACAAAACTATAACATCACAATTAAGTAATTGTACACATTTTACATGACCGATTTGTTTCCCTCTTCAAACTTTTCATAGCTACGTGTTGATTAGCTTAGATAAGAGCATATGTTCTGGCAGCAGGATCCCTAAGAGATTAGATGCTGTCGTAACTGACGTCCCGTCCAGAGAAATTAAGATTTATTGCAATGTCAATAACTCGCATCAATAGAATGCAATAGATACAACTGCATTGGATTGAATTTTTTAAAAAGTTCAACTTAAAATTTTGTTTTTGAGATAATCCATAAGGGAAAAGTAAAACAAAGGCTTTCTTTTTTGTGTGTCTGGCTGTCTGGATGCCAAAACAATGTAAAATTAGATCTTTCACCGGAATCAATCTTTTTAATCATATATATATATATATATTATATTACTTACTACAAACATTAGCCACCAATTTTTATTCGCTTTATTTATATTCTTGATGAGGCGATAATGTTATTGCATATATGTTTCTAAATGCCAAATGTAAGAACTAGTAATAATGTTTGAAAAGAATTCTAAAGAGTAAAAAACGTATCTGTAAGCCTACATAATATTTTTCTTTTAAGATGCCATGTGCGGCCCGCAGCTTCGCGTAAAAAAGCATGTTTTTGGCCCACCGAGTCAAAAGGGTTGGACAGCACTGCCTTATAGGACCCCCCCCCCCAAAATGTACATCTTAATGTTATAGATCCTAATTGTTTTCAAATTAAACACATTGTAATTTATTATATTTATAATTGATTGATTGGATATTTACATATCACTGGTATCCTTGCCACTGCGCTCTGGTTTTCTTAAATCTATTTAAACAAAAAAGTTTTAAAATGTTTCTTAAATGATTTTTTAACACTGTCAATTCCCCTCAAACATTGAGGCAAATTGTTTCATAATTTTGGCGCTATAGCTTCAAAAGAGCGCACCCCGTAAGACTTTTTTTCTGTGTTCATCCATGGATACATGTTTATAAATCAGTTCTTTAAGGTATTCAGGTGCAGAGCCTTCTATGCAGCTGTGCGCCAGGGACAGAATTTTGTAGTTAACGCGCTCAATGACAGGAATTCAATTGTCAGATTTCTTTATCCGCGATACAATGCGTGCTGCAGTATCTTGTACCTTCTGGAGTCTCTGACTTTGGTTCTGAGGTAAACCCCACAAACAACTTTTACAGTAATCTAGTCTTGAATGGATTAGAGTTACCGCTACAGCATTGGCTGTTATCTTATTAAATTGAGTTGAGGACGCAGCTGACCCAGGGCGTGCGGATGACAGAAGCATGCCTTGCCAACAGAACTGATATGGGGAATCAGTCTAAGTTTACTGGCAATATATAAGTCAAGGTCTCTGACAGTGGAGGACAACGGGATCTCTGATTCACCAACTTTTATTGATGTTATGGCAACTTTCCGAAGATTGGCGTCTGAACCACAAATAATTGCCTCAGTCTTATCGTCATTTAACTTTAGTCTGTTTGATGACATCCATTCTTTCACAGCAGGACAGCAGTCCTCGACAGCCTGAACAGCAGTAGCACACTCCAAGGCATCAGGGTGGAAACACGTGTATAGTTCTGTGTCATCTGCAAATATTTTGAGAGAAATACCATGACTTTCAATAATTTTGCCGAGCTGGCTAGTTTACATGGAGAACAGAATAGGTCCTAAAACTGAGCCCTGTGGCACACCACAGATAACGGAAGTGTCCATGGAAGATGCCTGCTTCACTACAATACGTTGAGTCCTGTCAGTCAGATAAGAAGAAAACCAGCGAAGTGCAGTTCCAGAGATGTCTGCCTCATTCAGAAGTCTTGACAGAAGAAGCTCATGGTCAATCACATCAAAAGTAGCACTGAGATCCAACAGGACCAATAGTGTCAGATCGCCGAGCTCAGCAATACAAAGAACATCATTCATGACACGGAGCAGTGCTGTCTCATTAATAAAGGATTTGTAGTTATTGGGTTAAATTTAACGTATTATTTATTCCTATTAATTGTCCCGAATTTCCTATTTTTCATACACTTTTTTTTCCATCGCGACTGTTTTATGACATACTCTATGACTAAATTGCATGTAAAGCCAACATTGAGAATAAATGAGGCGGTAAAATATGATGATAAAATACAGTCACACAAATCTCTTCAACTTCTAGCATGCCAGTCTTCACATTGTGCTCCACTCTTGTGCTGCGACGTTCAGACAATATGGGCTTGACTTTTTTTTATTTCCTTGAGTTCTCTGGCCAGCTGGCATAGGGCACAAGAAGGGCAGCAGACTACAACTATGCAGTCATCGAGGACGCTGCCCTGAGGACAAGAGTAAAAGATTAGGAAGTGACTTATAGTACCAATTGCATCGTGTGAGTCTAGAGTAAATACAGTGTGAGGTGCCTTCATTAAACCAGGACCAAAATAAACTTGTTCAGTGTTATTTATACTTGATATAATCCTCTAGCGTCGCCTCCTTCGACCTCACCCCCTCAAATGAATGGACTCATCATTACTTGAATGCCAACCAATCTATAAATATAATTTAGTGCCCACATTGCCGAATTTAAAGTAAAGGTTATTTTCATTCGGATTTCCGTGCTACCGTAGGGCGTTCTTTGGTCAGCCATATTACAATGTCAGAAATATTACAATGTCAGCCATATTTGCTGATGATACCACCATTGTTGGCTTAATATCTGAAGGAGAAGGCCTATACCGCAACTTAGTTACAAGCTTTAGCAATTGGTGCGATGAACATTTTCACCAGTTGAATGTCTCAAAAACTAAAGAAATGGTTGTTGATTTCAGGAGAGGGAAACACTAGATTACAGATCTCAACATAAAAAATCAAAATGTGGAGAAAGTGGAGGCATACAAGTATTTAGGTGTCACCATTAATAATAAGCTAACATGGCATGAGCACGGCCAAATGCTGTATAAGAAATTCAACCAAAGACTGCTCTACCTCAAAAAACTGTACAATTTCGGCGTAAACAAGCAAGACGTTAACTTATTCTACAGTGCAACCAGAGGCGTAGCGTGGTGGGGGCAGAGGGTGACAGATGTCCCCGGGCGCCAGCTAGTTAGGGGCGCCAAAATGTGCTTTGATATTATTTTATTGATGAAAATAATGGGTTTGAGAGTTAAAAAAAAGGAAAAGGGGCGATTTAAAATGGATCTTGTCCCCGGGCGCGAATCTTGTCCCTGGGCGCCAAACACCCTCGCTACGCCACTGAGTGCAACAATTGAAGCCTGCTTAATTTCAGTATTACTTGCTGGTGTGGGCATTCAACGTCTGATATTAAACACCGCATAAACCGACTAATCAAGAAAGCTAGAAACATAACATAAACTAAACATCCTTCACTTGAAGAACTATTTGAAAAATATGTTTTTGTAAAACCAAACACATTTTGGACGATACATCCCACCCTCTTCATCACAGATACTTAGGATCGGGCCGTTCGGAACGAATTCTTTCCATCAGGGCGAGGTGACAGATATAACAACATTTTTGTTCCCCAATCTTTACGAATTTACCGGCGTGCTTCCTCTGAAGTCACACATCTGAATGAGAACTATTAAGTCCCCGATTTTGCTAAGAGAACTCACTGAATGGCTGTTTGAAATAATTTATTATAAATGTCTTGTGTTCAAATTGTTTTATTTTTGAGCTGAAAATGTATAATGCAATAAAAAACAATTTCCATTTATTTGGATCAATAAAAGAATCTTATCTAATCTTATATTACAATTTCAGCCATATAACAAAATCAGCCATACTACAATGTCAGCCATATTTCAATATCTGCCATATTACAGTGTCAACCATATTACAATGTCAGCTATATTATAATTTCAGCCATATAAAAATGTCAGCCATACTACAATGTCAGCCTTATTACAATGTCTGCCACATAACAATGTCGGCCATATTACAATGTCAGCCATATTATAATATCAGCCATATAACAATGTCAGCCATATAACAATGTCTCAATCGAATCTCTTCTCCTGCGTCTCGTTGCTTAGTTAAGGGATGCCTTTATTATCGTGTGTGGCCCGGCGATTTGGTGACGTCGCACACGAAAGAGACGTGACATCGTCGGTAAACACAGAATGGTATCTGTCCAATGAGACGTTTGGGCATGCGCAGTGTGTTTCTAAAAGAATGGCGGCCGATCCGAGTCTGCAACTTCATTCAATATTATTATTGTTATTAGCGCATAAAATGACTTACGGCAATGTTTTCCTTGGCTCTGAGCTTCGTTCTCAGCACAAGCAACCACATTGGCACACAGAATGGGACAAGGACGGACTCGTCCATGTCTTGGGCCAGGCTGCACCCAAAGCAACGGAAGCAGAAAAAACTGCAGCAACCTGTCCGGAACAAAAAGAAAGTGTTTTTTTGGTGACAGAAATTTCTCATAGCAGACGATTTTATTCATCACATGCTGAATTCAATTATTATCCATGCTACCCTCTTTTGAAATAGTTTGTTGTCATACAAAAGTTAGTACTTGAGCTGTTATTCTCGAAGCTGTGCATTTATAAAAAAAACTCTCACTCTCAAACAATAACTCCTACTCGAAAGCCTCCGCTCAACCGCACGTGGCTCCGGGATTTGAACCCTTCTCTAGAGACCATACTTTTGGTCCACATTGAAATTAAACAAGATATGAATAAAAACACTTACACGTGTGTGCGTCCGAGCAGTTCCCACAGAGACCATGCTTCCATAGCCGGGGTGGGGTGTACGGCTCCGACGATGCTGGCTGCTGCGTCACGACCGTGCCGGCATTGCTGGTTGATCTTTCGTTTATTGCCATGTAGTTTGGGTTTGGTTGGTCCATCTTTAGCGGCACGTTGGTTTTGTTTTATGGTGGCGTTTAGTGGGTCTTTTTGTGGGACGATCGTTGGGACTTTGGAAAGGTTGGTTTCTGGTGGGGCGTTAGTGAAAGTTGCTTTCTTGAATGAACATTGGATATGAAATGACTTTGAAATTGAACAAAAACTATAGGGTTTTAATGTTGAACATTTGATAGGGTTCTGATGTTGAATATTTGATAGGGCTTTTCATGCTGAACATTTGATAGGGTTTTGATGTTTTGTTTGGATACTTGCCTTTATAAAAGTAATACTTGTCACCGGATACAACTCAAGCGTGATCGGTTAGGTCCAGTTTTTGGGGGGATAATCGGAGAAAATCCAAGTTACTATCATGATGAATAATCAGGGAATATCTATTAATTAATGATACACTATATTGGATGATCAGAAAAAAGCTTCAATACTACAATCATAGATTTGAGAATTGTATGCAGTTTCCGTGTGACAGGTACCAAACGTCAGATTCTTCAATAAAACTAATCTCTAAAACTACTAATAACCTAGAATGAGAACGCAAGTGATAATTATAAGCTGAAACGAAATGGTGAGTGCCGAGTTTTAGGTCTGGAAGTTGCTGGATTAAGTCTTTTATTTTATATTGCGTATTTAAAGAACAGGGGAAGGGGGCCGGACATTATTCACCCGTGACGTCATCGAAATGTAACATCTATAAATATTGAAGACGCATCTATTAGAAGGATTAAATTAAGGGAATCCACTTAATTGATAACTGCATTTAACTCATAGACATCTTGGTAGTTCATTGAATACACGAATTGCAAGTACGTGTACAAGTCGAATTCAAAACCTGAGAACCACGCTTTTGATAATCTTTTGCATTAAGCTACATCAGAGCGAAATTTGTATATATATATTCAATTCAACAGTATTTTAAAAAAACTATTTTTAAAACTATTTTGAATATCCTAATTAGTTGTATCCATCTGTCTTGGAGTCAAGGTTTTTTTTTCTTCCTGAGGTGAAAAAATTGAAGTAAACATAGATGTTGAAGTTAACATCCTATTACGTCATAGATGTCATTTATTGAATGTTGCAGTGAAGAAACTCGATACACATTAGTCTTCAATCAGAACCCGTTTTAGAATGGCATCTGAGGTCAATATTTCGTGAAGAAAATATCTTTGTGGTAAAAGTTTAATAGGGTTAGCGTAATAATAATATTCAATGTGTTAGATAAACGAATGTAAAAGAAGTATGCATTTTCTAATGAATTATATCAGATCAAATGTTCCAAGGAAAAAAAACAAACAAACAGCAAGAGAAAAAACAAAATCCCAGTGGTCATTTCCCCCCATTGTAGTTGTAGTAGGCACAGTGACTTCTAAACATAAGAAACACACACATATTGACTGATGGTTGTAACTTAATAATTCTTTCACACACAGTAGCTCATGCTAAAATAAGAAAAGAGATGCTTAACTGTACGAATCCTAAAGCACAAATAAGAATATGAAACCTTGTATACACACAATCTCATTGGAAACTAGATTTTTCAAACATTTGCTAACTATCCTCAACATAAAAAAAAATGAAATCAATTTGAAAGCTTTTTATTCATGAGCTTTTTGCTCAATAAACTGCATTCAGTATAATGTTATTTTGGCGGGGGGGGGGGGGGGGGGGGGGGGTTTTTTGTGCGAATGGTTCTTACACGAAAGTGTATGACCTCGGGGTTTTGAAATATATTTATGAAGACTTATAATAACAGCAAGGTGACTGCCTCATTAGTTTAAAACTCCTTTAAAGTTAAGTTCGTTCTTTGAAGTCTTCATGAAATACATCAACAGTTTTAAACTTAAAGATTGAAGTGGAGAAAAACCTCAAAGATGACAAAGCAAAATAATGAACGAATCGACAAAAAGTCCTTATCAGTGAAGGTGAAATAGTTAAAATTTAAGGGGGAAAAATGAATTTAACTTGCATAGCTGCATATTGTGTTAAATTCAGGCATAAAATGTAAACTGCTAATGAACTAAGATGGTAATTAAAAGAATTTTAGACAATAATATAATGGTAGAAAAATATATTAATGAACCTGAGCGCAACCTCTCTCTTATAAATCCTAAATAATGTTTAAGTTTTGTTTAAACTCATATTAAGTTTAGAAGCTTTCTGAATTATTTTTAAAGGAACCAAGAACCACAACAACAAAAAAAATATGGAATGACACTGGAAACAGATGTGTTTCTTTTCATCTGTTTAGGATGAACTTAAGCCTGGAGCCTGGAAGAATTCGATAAAGAGATTATCTCGTGACGCAGTACTGAAAATCGAAATGGTCGGGTGTAATAGCTTTACACAATATCTGTTAGTATATATGGGGTTAACTCATTTTATAGAATACTTCAGATTTAAATCTATTCATACATATGGGCTTACTTATGTACCATGACAATGGATATTTTTGTTTTTAAAATTCTGGCTGACATGGTAAACGAAACCATGTACAATTCAGATGTTTATATTTTAAAGTCGACCGATATAATATTCTTCTCGACCGAAACTTTCAAAATAAAAATAATTATAATAATAAGGTTTCATTAATTAATCATTATCAATATTATTTCATAACTACACTCAAAATGAGAATTGGATAACATTTTAAAAAGTGCATATATCAACTGAAACCAAGCAACGTCAGATTCTAAAAGCTTGAGTTTTTTTTTTTAAAAGTAGCTGGGCAATAATTTCTTTATCAAAAGACCATGTCATCTTAACATCTTGATATCGGTCGCTACAATCGATTCCAAACAGTTCTGTTTGGTCACATATTGTAAGATGCACAATACAAAAAAACGCGGCGGAAAAAATACATGAAATTATGCAGATGGGATTATGGAGAAGGTCGATTGTTGATGCATTGTCACGTGAGGGTTGAGACCAGTATCGAAGGCGAGGAAAGACACAGGCGTTGGCATAGAGAGGGGTGCGGTCCGTGATGGGTGGTCCTTTTCTTCATGGAGGGACAGCGTGTGTTTTTGTGTGTAGAAGGGGTGGAAAAAACTTTCGCCAACTCCACACACACATATATATGTATATATATTTAGGCCCGCACCTGGGGGGAGGGGGTGGACAACAATGGCACTTGTCAGGGGCCCGAGCTAAATAGGTGGCCCGCCCTTTTTAGAATATACACACGTTAGAAACACGAAAGGGGCCCAAAATCTGTCGGCTGCCTGGGGCCCGGAATTTCCTAGGTATGGGCCTGATGTATGTGTGTATGTGTGTATGTGTGTGTGTGTGTGCGTGTTTGTGTGTGTGTGTGTGCGTGTCTATTTAGGTTAATTTTGGAAGTGAAAAAAAAAAAAACCATTAAACAAAAAAAAAGAAGTTTGGCAAATAAACAGCCTGGAATAAACAAGTCAGTAGCACCCAATTCCCTTCCGATCTGAGAAGTAGTCATTTTTAAATAGTTTCCTTTTAAAAAAAAAAAAAAAAAAAAATTGGTGTCTCAAAGATTGGGCTACAATATCCTCCATGTGACTAAATATTTTGTCATTACAATTATATCATACGGAAAAATAAAGTTTTGAGATGTTTTCATTTCCAAGAATTGACCCTATATATGGTAAAGCAGTTGTTTTTTTCTCAAATATACCGCTGTAAGAGTCATATTATTTCTTTTTAAAGATGTGGTCGTGACTTGAAAACGCTAGCGTGCCTGTGTACCAGAGCCACCGAGCTTAATAATTCAGCGCAGTAACAAAGATTTTACAGGTCCTGGATTATAGCGAGAATGTGTGACAATCTATGACAGCGGTTCTCAACCTGTGGGTCGCGACCCTTTCACAGGGGTCGCGTAAGACTATTGGAAAACACACATTTCCGATGGTCTTAGAAACCGATTGGTCTATTCCGGCTAAAACACCAGGCATGTCACAACTTTTCCTTATGATTGGAGACGAATTTATTCCGAGACTGAGTGCAATTTCCTTATCTAACGTCACTGTCCACAGAAGAACAGATGACATGTCTGATAATATTCTTAATGAGCTAATCCGGGAAATTAAATCCGCTTCACTTCCAATATTTAATATCCAGCTTGATGAGTCTACAGACGTTGCAAACTGTTGACAGGTACTAGTTTACGTGAGGTATAACAATGATGGTGACTTTAAAGAGGAGTTTCTTTTTTGAAAACCTCTTGAAACGACAACGCCTGCACGTGATAATTTGACAAATGGGTTGGTTTATTTCTGAAAGATCATAAGTTTTCTTTGGAAAAGGTTTGTGGTGTTGGCACAGATGGTGCTCCAGCTTATGCTAGGATGTACATGTTGCCTATCTTATTTGGTTTCTTTGAGGGACATGACATTGAACCAGACAAAATGATTACGATGATAAATTCTGTGAAAGAACACTTGCACATGCTTGCAGACGAAATTTTATCCTACTTTCCAAATCTATCTGACACCCCATTTGCACTTGCCAGAAGTTATTCACAGTCAAAGTTGAAGATGTTCCTGAGTCAACACAAGAGGAGTTCATTGAACTTACTAACAGCGATGCAGGGGGAACTGAATGCTCTACAATTCAAGTTACAAAATTCTGGATCAAGTGTTTGCAGTCATATCCTGTTCTGTCTGAGACTGTTTTGCGCTCTCATCTTCCATTTCCAGCAACATATCTTTGTGAAACAGGGTTTTCCAGCTTGTTGGTAATCAAGTCTAAATACAGACGTAGACGTGTTGTGGAAGATCATCTTCTTTGTGCTCTTGCAAAGACTGTTCCGAGCATGTCTGATCTGGTAAGAAAGAAACAATCTCAACCTTCTCACTGACGTATGCTTTTTACGCATACTGTCGCAAAATGTAACAAAGTAGTTTACTGTTGTTATATTAAGACTGTTACCTATGCTACATCATGCTTCAAGACAAAATTCATTTATTTTTATTTAGAAATAAATATTTCACAATAAATAATTACATATTGTTTTTTGTGATTAATCACTATGCTTTAATTATGTGCAATTTGTAACAATGAAAATGCATCCTGCGTATACGATATTTACATTGCAATCTCATAACAGAAGCAAAATTGTGGTTGTGACGTAGCAACGAGAATAATTTCATGGCTGGGGGGTCGCCACAACATGAGGAACTGTATAAAGGGGTAAAGGGGTCGCGGCATTTGAAAGGTTAAGAACCACTGATCTATGACTTACTGAAATTTAAAACAAAAATAATTCTGAAAGCTTCTAATGCGGAATGGGTGAGTTTCCCGGGAAGTCCTTTGTTTACTAAAAATCGTTCGCGATGCCCGGGGGAACCCGCTTAGAAACCTTATATCACCACGCTGTAACACATCAAATGTTTGCTTTTGTTCTTCGGCGGACAATGTTCATGAAATCAGAAGTTAAGCAGCCTGAAGAAAAAATGTGTGGCAATCAGAAAAAAATGGTGTTGGTTGAAAGCGTCATCAGCATAGAAAACAGTTCATACAAATATAAAAGGCTCGGTGTGACCATGTTTGTAAAAAAAGGATCGATAAAAAAAAATATGATCATAATAATTTTTTTCTTTAATTTGGATCGCAACAAACTTTGACATGGTCATTCTTCCTGACCTAAAGATGGTTCATGGAAACTTTGTTCAAAATCCCAAAATATGTATTATTTTCTTTACACGAAGGCTTACGCTACTTTACAAGCTTCTACGTAAATTGTTACATCTAGGCCAAACTGGGTAACATTAAAATTTCTTAAATAAGCTGTATTTTCTTTAAATCGAGTAATTTTTTTACTGTGCACAGCTTGAATATTTACTGAAAAAAGGTGGTCCCGAAATCCAAAGTTTACAAGAGTTATTATAAATCTGTTTTGTTTTTTTTAAAGGAAAACAAATATTCATTTTAATTGGCAATTTAGCGAAGTGTTTTCGACATCGTCCTAAATTGACGTGTACAACTGATAACGCTTTAGAAGGTTTTTTTGAAGGGTTTTTTTTTTCCTGAATAAAAACCGAGCAAAACCGGGTATATTTGCTAGTAAAAATAAACGAATTAAAAAATTGCTGATCTCACTAGTATGCTTCATTGTTGTGCTACAAAGGGCAAGCACAATGGAATGCAGGCCTGATGAGAATGAGTAGAAATTAAACGAAAACATATTTTAATCCAAAGGAATATCGTGCTGGAATCGGTGTTATTATACAACTGTTATTTTATTTGTTACGAGTATATCCAATGTATTACTTAAGTTCATGAACAAATAAAATTAAAACTCAATAGTTAACACGTATACACAAATGCTATATTTTGCTTTTTCTTTAAAAAACAAAATACAATTAATTATTGTTGGTAAGTTCGTAATTAGTAAAGAAATTGCTGTGGAACTTTCAAATGATTTAGCATTAAATTTTACATTTTAAGCAAGATTTCACTTGCTGTGCTGTAGTGTTAACGTAGTTTTTATTTATGTATATTTGAATTTGTATACACTTATTAATAATAGAAATAAACCTGAACATTGTATGTATCCCTAG